AGCATGAGCAACACCAACACCAACATTACATCAACGTAGAACTCAAACACAACGAACAGCAGGAGAACCAACTACTCACAGCCCAGTACCACTGTCTGAATGCTCGAGCACATGATTTCGGCGGGGAGTGTTGAGACTTTAATCCCGGCATGAGCCACCCGACAGTACCACAGGCCATGGTCGAATCCGCACGAAAGTGGCTCGGAATCTAAGCTTCCCTACGTCAACCCGCACAACGGTTTAACACATAGCGGAGTCAGGGAAACCCAAATCTCTCTTTCTGAGCACTAGGCCCGTAGGCGGCCTGCGTCAAGGTGTAGTCCGATCCAGGGCCAGGCCCAAGCCCAATGTAATCTGCCTTCCTCTTGAGGTTATGTGACAGGGTTTAGGGCTCAGGGTTTCGGCACTCACACTCGGACACTCCAGGCGAGGCCTGTGCTTCGAGGTCCGCTGAGAGGAGGGGAAAAAATTCAAGTCTTCGGGGTTTAGGGTTTAGGGCTTAAGGCTATGTGAGGGGTTGGGGGACTGAGGCTTGGGGATTGGGGCTGAAGGCTTTAGGGATCAGGGCCTAGTGTGTCTACATGCTTGGAGGAAGGACCATTATGACCTTGCAGTGCGGATGTGGGGATTTGGGGTTTAGGGATGAAGCTTCAGAGCTTTGGGTTTAGGACTTGTGTGCTGCTTCTAACGTTTGGACTTCCTCTTTCTCTGACCAGACAAATGGGCACATCGAAAGCCATAGAAAAGCTCAATATGTGTGTGTGTATACATATATAATAATATATATATACATACACACACATTCACGTTTGGTTCCATCTTGTTCAGTGTTCGTAAAGGAATAGGAAACAAGGAGCTTCGGCTGGCTTCCTCGCACGCTGATCAGCAGGTCTCTCTTGCAGGCCCTGCCCAATTGAACCCTGAACACCAAGCCCCTTTTTGAACCCAGACTCTGCCAAACACCAAGCCCCTAAACCCTAAACCGTGGCTAATATCCCAGGTCTGCGTCGTCGAAACCTGGCAACTGAACAGCACTGCTCTCTAGGCGGCCAGGCCAAAGTACACCTGATAAGACCAACTTTGGACAGGATGCTTCGGTCCAGCAGCATGGTACATGCTGTAAACAAAGCCTCGGACAAAGGAGACATGAATAGGTCGGTCGAGAAGCTTGAGAAACTGGGGCGCAGGGATGCTCGGGGCTTGGCATGGTGTTGCGCAGCAGTTTGCTTGATTAGAAGCAGAGTCTTCGAAATCGACCACTAGCACATTGGCCCCTCTGTGCTCTGCAGAACTTGGGTCGGATCGAGATGCATAGCCTTTGGATGAACATGACATTTGTTCTGAAGCAGTTTAGTGTAGGCCTCCTGTACGAGGCCGGCCCCTGCCAACCTGGTCAATCTTCAGTCTGTCCTCACCAGCGGAGCGACGGTTTCTGTAAAGGCATTACTAATTTTATAGCAGCACGTGGCAGCTTCTGGGTCCCCCGGGTATCCAGGTCTCCCCACGATACGTACCCCGAGGGTAGTTGGTGTCAGCAATGCCAGAGCCCTCTTGATCGCGACATGAGCATCCGATCCAATATGTAAACACAAAGGCTCTACGTTCGCTGAAAGTCTACAATGCATCCGAAGCGGCCCGCGACTGTGCCTGCCAAAAGCTGCGTCGAAGCGTAAGCTACGCCTGCAATAGCAACGTGGGGTCCCCCTCTCTGCATCTGCAGAACTGACTCACCCACGGCGACCCCTCAACCTTTAGTCAGGAACTACGTCAACCGCATGCCTATAACATAACTAACATTACCTAACTGTGTTGACTTTTGCGTGTGTTCCAGAATACATTGCTGCGCACCTGCGCCATGCCGACTCATTGTGGCTGACTTGTCGTCAAAAGCACTTAGAAAGGCAGTAGCAAAACGTGCACTTGCCGAGGTGACAGCCAGTTGCATCAGTATCATATACCCTGCAGGTGCTACGAACAGTGAATCGAGGATCTCTGGGGCGACGACCTGTACAGAACAGGCGTCAAGACTCAAGAAGACTCGAACCTAGCGCCATCATGTGGGCACAAGAAATAGCCAGCAACGCGGTACGTATGTATGCATACATACATACATACATACATACATACATACATACATACTACATACATACATACATACATACATACATGCATACATACATGCATACATACATATTGGTAGATATTGTGTGAGGGGAGCTGGAAGATATGGCAGGATCTCTCGCTCTCGCTCTCTCTCTCCCTCCCTCTCCCTCCCCATGTACACTTTAAGTTTTTTGACCTGCCCGTATCCACATACCTGAATGCTCGGATGCATGTGCGCATGCATAAACACTTTGCAAGCATGCATTCATCCATCCATCCATCCATCCATCCATCCATCCCTCCGCCCGCCCGCCCGGCCGTCCGTCCGCATATACATCCGCACCAACGCACATGCAGTTGTATTTACATCATGTTTATGTACCTTCAATTTGGTTCCGCAGGCATGCGAACATGTTCGCCTTGCTGTATGTGTATGTGCGTGCGTGCGTGCTTGCCAAGGCGGACGGAGCATGCAGTGTGAACCCTCAATCATTTGATCCTGAATCCAGAAGAACGTCGGATCTCCGCCCGCACCTTCAGAGTGATGACAGAGCTTTCGGCCACTGGCCACAACGGCCATGGTCACCTTAGCTCTCCAGTTCACTGGCTGCTGAGCGACAGTTTAGGAGCTGAGTGCAAGGGAGCAGAGGCGTCTGAGAACAAATACTGCTAAACGTAAGGAAGCATAAGTCTCATGAGCAAGACCGACCGGCGACTTCTGATTTATCAAATACTGAAACATGGTTTCTGTGCTTGGAATGCCTCGTGCGGTTCAAGCTTGTCCCTTATGGCAACCGGTCCAGCTCTACGCACACACTCCGCAAGTTGAATGGCGACCCAGGCGCAGCAGGATTGAGGTGAGCTCCGGAGATGTTTCCCAAACAATAGATCATGCCTGCATGAGATCGGCTATCCGGTCGCGGCTTCGGGCGTCAGGGACTGAGATGAGATGTTGGAGTTTGCAGGTCTTTGACTGTGAGAGGGTATAACACAAGGCTTCACATCGAGTCCAGGAGAATTGAGACATGACAGCCTGAAAAGACTGGGTTCCGTATGTAACCCAAGCAAGTCGGGGGTCAGAGCTGCAGGACTGACGGAGTTTGACGACAAGGGGATTATGGCTTTCGCTGCTCAGGGCCTTCAACCGCGAGGATTACTCCTCCGCTTCATCCTCCTCCTGCTTCTCCTGATTTTCTCCTTTTTCCACTTCAAAGTTTTAGTGTCGCTACACTGTAGACTCTAGAGGTAGCGCTGTTCTTGTTGTTGTTGTTGCTGTTGTTGCTGTTGCTGCTGTTACCCTAGTTAGAAGGCACTATTGTGACGTTGCAACTATCTGTTCACTCTAGTACCATGCGCTACGTACTACTGCGGTTGAGGGCCACGCTGCACTAACTGCAGCGGCTGCTCAGACTTTGACCACAACGACAGAAGAAGACCAGTGCTGCTGACAAAAGGATGCTAATGCCGAGCCCTCTCATTGCTCCAGCCCGTTTAACTACCAGGCTTTTCCTGCATGTGTTCAGACTTAGGGCTTAGGTTTGATCACTCGGCTTGATGTTCAAGCCCGGCCGACAACCCGAGGTATGAAATACTTCGGACTTAGGACTAGGACTTGGGCCAGAAGGAGGAGGATGGCCACGCTGTCGTCGTTGGTGGCGTTGGTGTCGCTTGATTATACTGGTGAGGATGACGATGCTGATGACGGCATCGACGACAAAGACATGCAGAACATGGCCACTGGCGGAGGTGCTGCAGGTTCGTACTGTTTCTTACTGTGATCCAAACAGCGTGATTACAGCGAGACCGAAAGGCAACATACAAAGCAGCAGTTCACAAAAAGCAATGACAATTTCGGCTGGTAGTTTCACAAGCTGCCCCTCCAAGCCCCACACACCCCCAAACATGAAACGTAGTCTGCGGCACACATCAAAGCTGCCGCTGCCGACCACGCTGTCGCCGGGGAGCCATTCACAAGGTTGAGGCCGACCTGTAGGAGCGAGGTTGTCGGCGCGACAGGTTACTCTTATAATCATGCTTGTACATATACTCATATACAGGTGTATGTATGTATGTATATATATATGTATATATATGTGTGTGTATTAGATATATTATACAGACATAAAGATACTTATACTATCTATGATGATAAAGTTGCAGTTGCAGTTGATAGTACTATTGTTGCGATGAATACAAATCGAACCACTCACCACCATTGTACGCCTAGCACGGCTCCTATTCTTCTTGTCATTGCTAGCCTTGTCAGATCCTCACAGCGAAGATCAGTTACATTGGTCCCGTCTTTGACCTGAGTTCCTGACACCACGGTCTCTCTCCGGGCACTCAGGAGGAAACTAACTAAGCTTCAAAAGCCGAAAGCCTAGAATCTGAAGCCTCCGGGCTCTCAGCACCTCTGAGCTGTGGTTAGGTTTCGGGTCCTGGGGCGTGCAGCCCGCCAAGCCACAGTCAGCACGAGCATGAAGACGCCAAGGAACTCACTGAGGAGCTTTGCCTGAATTTAGTGGCCGTGTTGCGGACTGCTTTGGCTGATATAACAAGGCTTAGGAAACAGTTTCGGTTCAATGCCTGTAAACTGGGCGACTTTTCTGGCCCAGGATCAGCGGCAAAGCGACGCTAACCGACTATGTCCGAATGCTCAGATGTGCTAACTGCCTGGCTTAGTGATAAACACGCAGGAAACTAGATAGACCCTCCGCCCTGTAGCCAAGTTCCTGACTTGGTCTGAGGTTCCGGAGCTGTTGGGCTTCTGTTTCGGATCCTCTTTGTTTGCATCTAATATCCGAACATTCGGGCACCGAAATCCTCACCCAACAAGGCTCTCGGAGCTGAAAAACCCTGTCTCGGAATGTTTTGGCTCCCGCATGGCAGCTCCCGAAGTTGCTGCCTGTCTCCGAAAGCACTTCACTGAAGCAGGGGCGGAGTTGCACCCTGAACAATCGAGCAGTGAAGGTTGGATAACCTTGCTGCTTGAGGCTAGGGGCGTCGTTAGCGCAGCCCTGAACCTCTACTTGCTTTAGAAACACACCCCAAACAAAGAAAGCACAGTTCATTCGGGACGAGAAACTGACAACGAAGGTTGGTAGTTGTCCAAGGCAGCGGTGTCAAGATCGAGATAGTCCTCTCGTCTCTTTTAGGTGCCAGGGGCTGAGGCTTCATATAGGGAGTCGAGTATGGCGATCGCTGGACGTTTCAATTCTCCGGCTGCGCGCTCGAGTCGTCACGAGAGACACGGCGATGTGACAAAGGCATCCAAGAGTTTTCCTCCGCTTGCCCAAATCATTTCACTCTCATCATCCAGTCTGGCAGCGGGCTCCTCCGGCCGAAGCACCCGGTAGAGCGCCACTGCCACCACAGCTCCCAGAAGTTCAAACAAACCTTGCTAGGATATGTGTTGTCCATACAACACATATCAAACACACAAAAATTGAGTCCCAACGGCCCTGAATTCAGGCTGATGACAGTGTGAATGAACATAGAGATTTTACAAAGTATTGGATGAAGTCAAGTCCGGACCTCTCTATCACCACGAAGCTGAGCATGTTCGTCAGTGAGCTACCGTGCGCGCCACCTGCAGTCCCTGGCTGGCCTTTGACTCACCCTGGACTTTATGCTGCGAGGCTCAGCTGTACTCTCGCTATCTTTCGCTTTCTTCTTCTTTCGGGTATAAGGGGAGTGTCAATCCCCCTGGCCCATTGGGCCCCCCAATGTTTGGGGCTTTGGAGGCAGTCGGGCAACAGCTACACGTACGGGGGACATCTGTACGGCTTTCTCTCTCCCTCTCTCTCTCTGTCTCTCTGTCTCTCTGTCTCTCTCTCTCTCTCTCTGTTTCTCTCTGTTTTTCTCATTGGTCCCAACACCTTCCCTTGCCTAGTTCTCGGGTAACCCGGCTCATGATCTTGGAGGAACACCGCAACATGCAACAACAACTCCAACACTCCAACACGCTGAATCCAAGAGCTTCCACATCAGGACGGCCGGTCAAAGAAACTAAACACTAAACCACTAAACAGAACTCACCTAAGTCTCGCAAATCCTCAACCCGGAAGAAGCGAACCCATGAGAGTGTTAAGCCGCAGTGTCCTAACCCATCCACGCCAACAACAAAAACAACCTCAAGCCTATTAGCCATTACGCCGAACCCTGACAAAGGAAACTCTACACTGAGACTTTCGTGGTTGAACTTCGGAAAAAGGGGCCCCAGAGAAAGCCCATGCCGACGCCCTTGCTGTAGCCTGGTAGAAAGGACATCCAGCTTCTTTCGGCTTGGGTTTAGGATTTGGGTTTCGGGTCTTCTACCCTAAACCCTAAACTCTTGGCAGCATTCAACCGTCTAAACCCTAAGACCTGAATGACTAAAAGCCTCAAACTCCCAACCCAAAAGCCGCAACACTCATAGGGGTTTTGGAGATTTGAGGTGATGAACTTCGCAGAGGCTTGGCATATAAACAGGTGAGACTTCTCAAGGTCCCGGCTTATGCTCCAAGCAGTAGTTTGAGGTATCGTTCTAGTACATTCTACGGATGCAAACTCGAGGGGCGTGGGGATCGAGCTTCGGCCCGTCATCCGGGTGTCCCAATCGCACTCGAACACGTCGAGTTTCAAACCGATATTACAGCGGCCTCAATTGTTAGACTAGGGCTTTGAGATACAGGGAGGGGGAGAGAGAGAGAGAGAGAGAGAGAGAGAGTGACAGCAACGAGCAGTTCGTACTGATCAGTCCGACCTTCTTTAAAAGTGTGCTGGGATGACATCCTCCTCGAGGCCTTCAGCAAGCTGAAAACTGCTTGCCAAGAAGCTCGAGACATCCAGGCCGATGGCCACTGCCGGGTTGAAGGCGGCGCCTGAGACTCCTTCAGGCGAGGGTTTGGGCTTTTTGACTTTAGTTGTTTCGATGAAGGCAACCAGGGCCATCGCCCTCGAAGGAGCTGGCATGAGGGAGAGGGGGGGTGGGTATCTGGGAGAACTGCAGAGGGGCCCGGCACTTCATCATTTACCCTGCATTGCAGGTTCTGGCGTTGTGAAACGGACCATGAACCTACTCTATCGTCCGTCCTCCGACCGCATAGCCTCCGGCGATGATGACCCAGGCAATAGCTAAGGCATAGAAGTTGTTGCCATCAGTGCCAGGGTTGTTGCGCTTAGAGACCGCGACATTAAGCACGGTGAAGGCCAACATGGCAGTGTAGATGAGCTCTGCCATCAGTGCGTAGGATAGGTGATAAGGATCCTTCGCCTGTGCAAGGGGAGACTTCCTATTTGACGCGCATGTGGAGTGTTTGGTTGAGGGGAGGGTTTTTAATAACTGACTTGTGCTAAGTTTTGGGGGGCAATAACAAACAAACCTGAAGTGCTATTGGCCGACTGAGCTACACCAACATCGGCCACATCTGTGAACAGGCTGCAAGCAGCGAAACCAGCGGCAATGCCACCGACGAGCTGTGATGCGACATACCCCACTGCTTTCAACGACCAATCACCGGTCGCCAAAGAAATGGCAAAGGTGACTGCTGGATTCAGGTGACCTCCGGACACTCCTCCCGTTGCATAGATCATGACCATCAAGGAGCAAGCAATTGAAGTAGGTGACCAGTTCTCGTTGGAAGCCAGCACGTTGCAAACCACCTTGCTCAGGCCCAGTCCAGGACACACCCTAAACCCAACACCGTACATCCTACTCGATGTGCATCAGGACGAACATGCAGTGACAAACATCTCCCCCGTGATCCTAGCACGCTGACCAGGCTCAAACGTGTGTACAGCTAGTGGCTGAAGGTCTGGAGGTTTTCGGTCTAGGCCCATGCTTCGCCCCTAAGCAGTCATTTGCCAGCAAGCTGCGGTAAAGACCAGCACAAAGGTGCCCAGGAACTCGGCCACATAGCAGGAGTACCAGGTCGCTTCCTTTTCCATCTCCGTCGGGTGGGTCACATAGAACGCAATCACCTAGTGGGAAGCTTCAAAGCTCGAGTGGAAAATATATTGCCATATACCATTACATGCGTATGCTGCATAGACGGCTGCGCGCACACAAGCCCGCACAGACGTGTCCTTCGTTTCTTTGTCCGCACAAAGACGTTGTTTGCAGGTGTATATGTATAACCACATCCACAAACATACACATGTTCATAAACCTGGCAGCCTGCACATGTGCGAACACATGCATGTAGACACATACGTTACATCACCATACACATCTACATGGCCATATGAATGTAAATATACATACGCATGCGTACAACAATGAATGCATACATCCATACATGCATGCCTTTTCGCATGCATGTTATGTACATGCATATTGCGTACACAAATAAGTAACTATATATATATATGTATATATACATACACGAACATATATATACATACATACATATACATATACATATATGTACATACACATATACACATATATCAATTATTAAATAATATTCATTCATTCATTCATTCATTCATTTCATTCATTCATTCACTCATTAGTTAATAGCTATTTGATTGATTGAGTGGTTGACTAATTAATCAATTCGCTAATTAAATAATTAAATACAACGGATGCAAATAAACAGAGTACACACGGCCAGGGAGATAGATCGATAGGCAGAAGCATGTGCGTGTACATATATATATATATACATACATGTGCATATATGTAAGTACAAGTACATGCGTAAGTATATGCAGAAGCGCGTAAGACACACACACACATCAATAAAACAAAACATATATATATATGGATGTATGTATACATATATATATATATGCGTGTGTGTAAAGTATGGTGTGTGCATGTGTTTGTAAAGTTTATATGCACATGTATACATATGTATGTGTGTATCTATGCAGTTGCATGTATATACAGAGACAAGCAAGCGGTAATGGCACACACACACACAGTGACATGCATACATATGGTTGCGACATGCTGCGACTATGTCTCCTTTGCACGTGTGCGCATGTTTGTTTCAAAACACAAAGCCAAGGCCGTTAAGTAAGTGCCTTCGACATGACCGCAACTCTGAACCCCTCAGCTACAGCATACGACCCGATTTGGGATAAGTTGCAGTTCTTCCAAAGCCAGCTCGAACCCTGGGGTAGGAGGATTCAGCAATCCTATGCGTAATCCTATACACCCTAACCCCGAAACTCCTAAACCCTGAACATCCCCAAAGCCTAATGGCTAAATGCCCCTCCTTCTTGACAAATGATACCCCTAAACTAATCTAAACTCTAAGCCCCGCAGAAACCACTGGGCCCTGTGGCGGCCAGTAGCGCTCCGGCGAACTCAAAGCCGCTAAATGCGAGCCTGGGGTTTGGTGTCTTGCGCGAAAAAAAGGGGGCTTTTTGAGCGGCTCTGGCTTTTGAGGGGTTTAGGGATTTAGGAGTTCAGGGTCTAGGGAGAGGCCTTGGGATTGAAGAGTTAGGGCTTGAGTGGTCAAGTCCGGATACAGTTAAGACTTCGGATTCCGGAGTTGAGGGCCTGGCGCTGGCTTACGCAACTGCCAGTTCAGGAACTAAAGCCTGCAGGATTTTGACTCGTGCACTGTCGATGAGATGAGGGATTGTTGATCTTGGGGATTGGGCTTTCACGTTCGAGCGCTTATAGAACTCAAGGTTTATAGGGCCCAAGGGCCCCTGGAGGCCGACCCAAGTTAGGGTTCCCTGTGAGGTACTTAACGGAACGATCGATGATCATGATGTCAGGTCTGAATTAAGAAGGACCATCTTTGTCAAACATGACAGACTACCTGAACATTCTCAGCCCTCAAGATAGCTGATGCTGGAGCAGTCGGCTATCGACAGCAAGAAATCAAAAGAACAAAGTGATCGTACAGCTCGAAGCCCTTCACCCGCAGTCTTGCGCACTTGAGACCCGTTGGTTCAACCCAATCACCCCAAACCCGTAAACACAGGAAACCCCACTCCACATGATGCTAAACCCTAAAAGCCGACTGCAGCCAGTTGCAAATTCACAATCGCCGAACCATTGCTTTCGGCTCCCGCAGGTGAGTAGATGGAGCTGGCCACCGTAAGTCCTAGTCAGGCTTTGGGAGAAATTACGTGTGTGGTGTAGGGCTTGGGGGCTGCACCCCTCACAAAACGCTTGGTTCAGGTTGAGCAGCAAGTTGCGTCTGACCGCGAAAGTTCAACTAGCCAAGGCAGGCACGCTCGAATAATGCGGAGGAACCAATTTGTTCGGCGAATGGGAGCACAACCCGTGATGTGCCAGAAAACTCTTTGTATGGGAAAATGAGGTTGTATAAAGACCCCGCCGTGAAGCCCTCATGGCCAAACTGCGTTATCGTTGTTTTGCTCATTTTACTCCTTTTTGTTTCGCAAGGTGTGAAGATTATCATTGATGACAAGTACGGGAAACAGGCTTGGCTCTTGGTGGGTTGCAGCAGCGTACACCCCATCTACAGTTACCTATCTCAACATTCCATAGGTCTTAGGAGAAGATTGCCAACACCTCAACTCGCTGGCTTGCACAAGCGATGGATGGCTCGTGTCCTTCAAAAGGCACCTCTGTCAAACCGAAGCAATCGTTTTGTTATCGTTTTGGGCACTTAACTTGCCTCGGATATCCGAGGTTTCATGAAGGAATTCTCAAAGCTTCAGTTTGCAGAGGTGCAGCCTGCACAAGCAAGTGCAGTCTCTCAAGCCTCATTTTGCACAAGTGCAGCCTCAGCGAGCCTCAGTTTTTCTCAGTTTGCACACAGCAACAGCCGTAGCGGCAGCAAAAACAGTAGGAGTAGTAGCAAGCCAGCCGTAGACCGTGACAGTAGCGGTAGCAGTAGTTATAGCGGTAGGAGCGGAAGTAGCACTAACAGGAATAATAGTCGTAGTACCAGTAGTACTGGAAAGCCCATAATACCAGTAGTAGTCATCATAGTAGGACCAGTCATAGTACCCATGTACTGAACATTGAGTGTTTATCTTTTTTACATCATATCGTTCTACAGGATAAACCACACAAGGTGGCGTCATAGACTACTCTACAAGAACCCCTATTACACAACCTCGCATCGCGGCTTTAACAAGTATCTCCAAGTTCCAGCAGTTTGTCCGCCCGAAGGGCAAGTGGCTGCCTCGATCCAGCCCCGTGTTCTTAACTCAAGAATGCTTTTCAATCTTTTCTAATTATCGATCTATCGATTGAGGTGTCTATCGATCAACCTACCGATCAATCAATCTATCTATCTGTCACGCTCTATCTCTCCATCTATCTGTCTGTCTATGCAAGCCAGGAATCCTGTTGACACCGCCGGGTTCAGCTCACCACCGGACAGTGCTCCAGCAGCAAAGCCACCGGCAGTGACACACGAGGCGATTGCCAAGCCGAAGTAGAAGTTCCTATCCGGGAGGCAACCCATTGGTTTTTAGTTATTTACATCTAGTTGTCTGTCTGTGAGTCGGCGTGTCTGTCTGTCTGTGCACATGTATATTCATGTCTATGGTCCTATTAATGTCTATCTCTAGACGCATGTGTTTTTCATCCCTGTATCCTGGCAGGCACATGACACCGACACGATTGTTCGGGAATTATACATTAGGTTTACAGTCGCTTATGGAGGCTCAGAACCTAGGACGCTCGACATGTGGCCGTGCAGTCGCGACCGGATTGGCTTCGTTGCCACTGGTTTGCGTTAAAGCAAGAACATGATGATGACCATCCTGACTGCAGGACAGTGAACCCTCTAATCATGATCAGGAATTCAATTCCAATTGGGTTCAGGCCTTGGAGGCACAGGATTCATTTGCAGCTTTGCATTGGAGATAAGCTCTCAAACAACATGAATCACTTCTCCTCGTCAAAGTTCACAATCCGAGAGGCTCAGAGGTGTCGTAGGCTTGCCCCGGACTCATCAGTCAAACACAAACATAATGTTAACTTTTCTCCCCACACTCAGCATGTGCCTAAGTAAAAGACTATGTATATGTATATGAATGTAGATGTATGCGTATATGTATGCGGATGTATCTGTAAGTCTATACAGATATAGATATATAGATACAAGCATGAATATATATATATATATACATAATTTGTTTAATTGCACTTGCCTGCAATACAGCACATTGCATTAAGCACTGAATTGAAACCACACCATGCAAACCTTTTTGGTACACTAGATTGTTTGACATCACATCGCACGTACTTGTCATGAAACATGTGTTCACATTTACAGTACAGGTTATTACAATACATTACAATGCAATACAGTACAATACGATACAACACAGCACAACAATGCATACATGCGTATGGGTACATACATAAATAATAAATTTTAATAAATACAAACATACACATACTACATACATGCATACATAGATGTAAGTACACATGCGCTGAGGCGCTTTCTTGAGATGCTTCGACTTCGTGCTCCGCCAAGGCTCTGCTTGGTCAGCTGCGACCCGGGCTTGGCGATAGTCGCAGTGGCCAAGACCACGTAGCACAGGACGAAGGTGAAGACCTTAGGTCTGCAGTTTTGAAGGTTTCGACTTTAGGGCTTAGGGATTAGACTGTCTGGGTGCCTGAGGCTTGTGTGAAGGATCTTGGGGTGAAGATGGTAGCTTATCAGTGAAGTTCTAGGCTACCCCGCTTCAAGTACAGGCAACCCCAGGCGTACAATCCACGTAAGTGCAATGTCCCCTGAGCCTTGAACGGGGTTCTGATGGATTCAGGGCTTGAGGATCACTGTCCGAGTGTAGTTTTAAGTCGGCTTTGTGCTAGGTATATCTTATGCCTCTCTCGCCTTCCTGCAGCTGGGCAGGCCACTGTCAGCTCGCAGTTTGTGGAGATGCAAAGCCTCCATGGATCCCAATCCGGAACAACCATATGTTTGCGTTCTTTGTCCTTCTCTTTGCGATCGATTTACCGCTGCAGCAGTTGGGGTTGAACACCCTTTTGGTTATAGTGAACACCAGAAAGTTGGAACATGGATTTGAGATGATTGGTGCCGGGCTTCCGTATACTTTACCTTGACGGCACGAAGACAATCAGACTTCCCAACTTTCCGGCTTTTACTTTAGGTATCTCTAATCCGGCCCGAAGGATAACAGATCTCGAGCTCGCCATCTTCCGAAGCGGTGCTTCCGGGATTTGCAGGCTGTGGAATTCTGGGCTTCATATCCGATATGGGATGCCCCTTCTTCGGAAGATAGGCATGTCGAACATCATCGCATCCAGAAACCCAGGCTCTCCAAGACCCTTGATCCTACATAGTACCTTATACCTGCACTCCATGCACCATCATCCTGAGCCCTTGAATCCTGAATCCCTGCAGTACGTGTGAAACTCCGAAGCTCGGAGATCTTACCCGGAGTGGGGAAGACTTCTGGCTGGGATGGAGACCATCTCGGCAATGCCAGCTTCGACCACGCTGTGCCCCTTCCTGGGCTTGTTGTCCGAGCTTCACGAGACCCCAAACCGCGAAGACTTCGGGTGCAAAGTTTGCGGCTGTTTCCCTCGATTGCTGTAGCAGCAGCGCCGGCAGCAGGAGCAGTAGTTAGCAGTAACAATCTTCGGCATCAGTTGGAGCTGTGGCATGACAGCCTGAGGAGAAGATCAGCAAGGGCAGCTGCTCCCCCAAACCTTAAAGCTGCACGGAATCGCCCTCGTACGAATCTAGCGAAAGAGTAGGGTTTTTGGGAGAATATCACAGTACACTGCGATAGAGACTATACTGGGGTATCACTATAACCATTACTAACCAATTCTTCAGAAACCCCGTCTAATCCCACCATGCCAGACCTAATCACCTCAGGAATCGACACCCCGAAAGCCTGCGAAGTCGGACCCAGCCAGGCCACCCCGGCTCCAAGAAATGGGCGCTGTCCTTGCCGGTGCCTCGGTGTAGGGTTTAGAGTTGAGGGTTTAGGGTTGAGGGTTTAGGGATTGGGGTTTACCCTAAACCCTAAACCCTGGTTGCTTCAAGGGCCTCTGCCCACGCCCGCCCGTCCTTTCCCTGAATACGACTGCACCTGCATGATTTTTTTTGTTGAGTCCTTCACCCCCAAATGATCTGCACCTTTGGGGGGGGGGAGGTGTCAAAGAAGGTAGGGCCCAAGGCATCCGAAAAGCCTGCAAGAAAAACGCACAGAAAGCGCAGTGTTTATCAAGTCAATGCTCTTAGTGTCAAACTTATGTAATTGAATGAGCACGAACTGGCAAGCTAGACGGTTGTTTGAGCCCTGTCGTCGATAGGTTTTAGGTCCAAGTGCTCGTTTTCCGGGCATCAACAAACCGTGCTAAAGTGTCAGGCTCCAAAGTCTTGATGATTACTTAAGATCTCAGTGCCATCCCCACAGATTCATAGCCCAAAGCCTGCAAGAGCAATCTGACAACCGATGCCACTCCCAAGCCCTGAGTGCTTAACCAATGCCTATCAGATCCTGTCGTTCGAGGCGCCGATCTTGTGAAAGACGCTTACCTGAGCCCCGTTGCCGTCATCACTGAATTGATACCGGGGTTTCGGATTCAGGATTTTGGGCCTCATCCGACTGCACAATGTAGGTCTGGGCCGAAAGGAACTAGTCACAGGTGTATACAAGACGCACGGGCCCGTACTCCTAAGCCTTGCCTTAGACTTTCTGCGGTGAGCTGTCCAGCACAGACATGGTCTCATCGACTTCATGCAGACTGGCGGGTCCACTTACATAATGGCGTGTGGATCTCTCTCTCTCTCTCTCTCGCTCTTTCTCTCCCTCGCCATCCTGGGCAGGTACTGGGGAGTGGAGGTAGTACAGCTCAACAGTTGAACATTCAGTAGCCACAAACAACAACAACGGCCTCCAACATCCCCTATACCCTCCAGGGTCTTCACATACTTCAAGCAGGCAAAGCCCTGAACCCAAACCATTCATCACCGGTGCTGGTAAGAGGCAATGGCTCCGGCGCTGGCCCCGGCGAGAAGTTGCACCGGAATGTAGGTCCCGAAGTCAGTCCAGCTGCACTTGCCTGGTGGAGTTATAGAGCAGGTTCTGAGTGGTTGGGTTTATCGTGTAGGGCTGGCACTCTGCAGGCAGTCTGCCTCGTAAGTAACATACTTCTGATATGTCCAGGGTGAACTCCTTAATCTAGTCTCTCTTCGCTGCGTGGGTGTCTACGGGGATCGGATTGAAACAAGCAGGCAAGGAACATTCCGGCTGTTGGGGTTAAAGGCAAGACACGCCACCCTGAACGAGGACAAGAGCCCGAATGAAGTGTAAGGACAGGAGAATCTTCCAAATGTTTGCCCCCAAAAGTCCCAATCTACCTATGCCCCGAAAATTCATACCCTGAGCTCTGAACCTCCAAGCACTGAAACCACCAAACCCCTCGCTCCCAACTTATTGTGCAAAGCCACTTCATCCCCACAAAACCTTGCAGCAAAACCTTTTGCAGCAAGCCTTTTAGTAAAGCAACAACCCTGCGACCTCCAGTCCCGAAAAATCCTGACCATGACGGCCCTCAATGCCTGACTTAGGCCATGGAGGGTAGGATAGGCCACAACCTAAATCTTACCTCCCTCAAGGCCGAACCTCTACACCCCACCCAAATCCCCCGCACCGTATCTCCCAGATCGTTTCAGCTCCGGGATTGGCGAATGCCCTGAAACCCCCCCGATTCTTGGGCCTACCAGGTTTGTTTTTGGTTTAGGGGTTCCATGTCGTAGGGGTAGGGGGTTTTAAACTTTAAACCTGGCAAAGACAGGGAACTACGTCTTCTCCTCTTGGCACTGTTCCGGCCTTTGCTTTGCGGGTGGGGGTTATGACAGCAGAGTATACAATTGCATTTAAACTTATACTACATTCAATGCTTTAAACTCTAAAGCGGCATGAATATTAGTACACGTGTTCGCCTGTACTAGCAGAATAAAACAGTAAGATGCAGCCACAGCAGCCTCTGAGCTTCACGGCGAGGGAGACAGCGGGGTTAAAGTGAGCGCCAGACACGTCGCCCAGTGCATAAATCATGCCTGGGGCATGATTATTTCTTTCTTTCATTAAACAGAGCAACTAAGGATCACACCTGGTCTTGGCTTGCTTTTGCTTTCACAATAAGACCAAACCTGGGTTGGGTTTGGCTTTACTTGAGAGGTAAGTTGCAGAAAAGATTAAGACTCGCCATGGCACGTTGGGGTTGGGGCTGAGAGTCCTCCTTAGAAGACTTGAGGTTTAGGAGGTCGCGAGAGTTTCAAGCATACGGCTTACATCTCACACTTGGGGTGTAGGGCTTGTAGATTTAGAGGTTCAAGTTAAAAATTCTTCATGTGCTAAAATCCCAAGTACACTGAATCTCGGAAGCCCTTCGCCCTTACAAACCCATCCTTTCCCAACTCTTGTAACCCTTCTGTTGCAAGCCCTGTTGAGTAAGTCTTCAGCGTTCCAACAGCATCTTAACACCCCCCCCCCCCCCCCCCGCACCCACCCACAATCCTATCCCAAAATAAATCTAACTCTACGACCCTTGCAGTCCCTAATCCTAGCCCCCTAAAATAATCCCTAAAGCAGCCGAGCTGCACATCAGCGCAGCTGCAGCCGACCAAGCTGTTGAGGCAGAGCCGAGCACCACGTTCAGCCTCTTAGAGTTTGGGGCTGGGCCTTTGTACTACAGGGGCCATAATACTTTCAAGACTATTCCTGAGCCCTCCTCACAACTACAGAAAAAGTGTATGTCGACCGCTTTTTACCTGATAGTATAATATATCCCAAAACGGTATTCTAATCGTTTAGGCAGCTAGAGTACCTTCTTGACCTCATGGAACTGAAGGGGTCTAGGGTTTGTAGTAGAAGGGGGTCTAGCCTAGCGGGGTTCAGGATCTGTTTGGGCCTTACTGCGAAGATCACGGGGCTTGGTCGAGGCTACGAACAGGGCGGAAAGGACTCTAAGTCACGCTTTCCTGTTGCCTAGGCCGTCAGTCCAGAACGTTCAGCCTAGGATCGTGCTGGATTCGAGGTACAAAACTTAAGGCTTGCAGGACAGCTTTTTTCACGAACATATAGCAACTACTAATTGTTACAAGCACAGGAATTTTAAAAAATGAGCACAAACGGCCCACCGAGTGCGAAAGGGAATTCGGAGGCTCGGGACGAAGAAGCCAAGGTGCCCCACCGTGAGGACGAGCATGAAGGTGCCCAAGAATTCACTCACCTTAATTCATAATTAGCATCGGATTTTGGTGTATACTAGACTAAACTGTACCGGGGGATGCTACTATTAATTACTCCGACCTCCAGCACGTGACGTAGAAAGTTTGAGGGCATGGAAAGCTGGCTTCATGCAATGAGAACACTATAAGTTTCGGGCATGATCTTGGGCGGAAAGACTGTGCTGCAAGGTTTCCGGCCATCCTTTGGTACACATTGCAAGATTCGGTGAAGTCCCAGTATCCATTTGAAGGACGAAGGAACTGTTCAAGTAGGTTGTGAGCAAGACTCCTACCGGGTGATAAACGAAAAAGGATAGCGCCATTTCGGGTGGTTGTACTACTGTGAGGTCAATGTATAAGCCCCCTGGTCATTGCAGAGGCTTGACGGTGAGTGTTTCAGCTTTAAGGCTTTCTGCACTTGTTTAGCGCTAAAGTTAGCCGCTAAAGCTTCACGAAACACGGAGGTCCAGGAGATGGAACTTATCCTGCAAACACCGAGCTACGGCAAGAATGCCAGCCACAGAAGCTTTCACGACAACCACCGCTGGCCTTTTTTCGATTGCTCGACGTTTCTCCGCTACGTCCTGGCCCACCCCCTCCCCCCCGCACGCACACAGACACAGAAACCCGAAACAAAGCAACACAACAAAACCAACGAAACCTAGAAACCTGGTTTGCGGAATGAAGATCCGAAGACCTGAGCAGGAACCCAAACCTTAAACACGTAGCCTCTTCCCCGACACCGCAGCCCTGAAAACAGAACCCTGCGAACCGAAGCCTTGAAAACCCAAGTACTAACACCACAATCTGCAGACGCTGGGCCAACTTCACGGGCAAACTCGGCTCGTATGTGCTGAGCTCGACCAAGGAAAAGTCCTTTCGCTAGGGTTCTTCGTGTTCACTTAAACATTGAGGATTCTTTGAAAGCCTGTGCGATGTTGAATGTTCGCGGGACTTCCTAGGGCAAGCCGACGATGAAAAAAGCGTGCCGATGCAGGGCCACAGACCTCATGACCCGAAGCCTTCAGCTACAAGGACCGTGTCTAGAAACAATCCGGAAGCCCGTGTCCCGCTTCGTGGCAATGCTAGTACCTGCTAGTACCTTCACGAAATGTGCGCAAACTCGTGAACCTCGACGGCTTCGGGGTCAAGGGTTCAGGCAACAAGGGTTTGGGGTGTGTGTGTGTGT